GAGAGATTTTGGCAAAAGTTTGTTATGAAGAAGAGAGAATTTTGCAAAAATTTACTATGAAAGAGAGAACTTTGAAAATTTTCTATAAGATAAATTTCTTTTTCAAAGTTTTCTATAAAAGGGAGATTTCATGATAGTTCCTTATAAAAGAGAGAGAATTTTCTGAAAGTTTTTTTACAAAAAAAAAAAGAAATTTTATGAAAGTTTTTTAAAAAAGAGAGATTTTTGCAAAAGTTTCTTATGAAAAAGACAGAATTGTGCAAAAGTTGTCTTCTGTATTTTTGAAAATTTTCTGTAAAATACAAATCGTTTTTAAAGTTTTCTATAAAAGAAAGAATTTTGGAAATTTTTTATAAAATATATAATATTCTCAAAGTTTTCTATAAAAGAATTTTACGAAAGTTTCTTATAAAAGAGACATAAATTTCCAAAAGTTTTCCTTTAAAGGACATAATTTTGGAAGGTTTTTATAAAAATATAGAATATTTGGAAAATTTTCTATTAAAGAGAGAATTTTGCGAAAGTTTCTTATAAAAGAGAGAAAAAAATATAAAGTTTTTAATAAAAAAAAAAGAGAGAAATTTCCGAAAGTGTTCTATAAAGAAGGAATATGAATATAGAATTTTGTATATGAAATATAGAATTTTGAGAAAGTTTTCTATAAAATAGTTACGTAAGCAAAAGTTTCTTCTAAAAGAGAGTATATGTCAAAGTTTCTTTATAAAAAAGAGACTTTTTTGAAAGTTTTCTATAAAAGAGAGATTTTTTTTTAAAGTTTTTCTCTAAAAAACAAAAATGTTCCAAAAGTTTTTTTTTTATAAAAAAAGAGAATTTTCAAAAAGGTTCTATAAAAAGAAAGAGAAATTTAATTAAAAGAGAAACAGAATTTAATGGAAATTTTTCTATTAAAAGAGATTTGAATTGACAATTTTCTATAAAGAGATAATTTAATTGAAAAATTACTATAAAAAGAGGAGTTTTTTGAAAATTTCGTGTAAAAAGAGAATCGATAAATATTTATAAAAAAATTGAAGGGAAAATTTTCTATAAAAAGAAAAGTTAATTTTAACAAAATAGAAAAAGAAAAGAACTTTTGGAAAATTTTCTTTTAAAAGACAAATTTTCAAACAAAAACATAAAATGAGAATTGAGTCAGAAATTTTCTTTAAAATGAAAACAGAAAGGAAAATTTTCTTTAAAAAGAAACATTTTTGAAAATTTTTTAATTTCTAATTGTTGCAATGTTCTAACAACATTTAACAAGGTGATAATTTGTGTTAATAAAACAAATTTTTTCTTTTTAATATAAATACAAACAAACATTAAAAAATTTATTACTATTTATTTAGGATCATTTACAAAATTGATGATGATTTTGCTAAAATATAATTATTTATTTTAGGGCTTGAAACAAGCAAATGACATAATTATGTTGCAACATATGAGCATGAACAATAACTTTTTCGCAGAAATAAAAAAGACCAATCTTTCAACTAACAAACACATAATAATAAAAATAATAAAAACAAACAAAACCCAGACAATAACAATAAAAATTGTCCTTATCAGACAGTATGCAACGCAGTTGAGGACACAAAAATACCCTTAATATGCCTTTAGGTCTATTTGAGAATTTGTTGAATTAAAAGATCTCTGTAGCGGAGGATAGAGATGTCATTTCTGTTTAAAATAGTAAAAATAATGATTGGTTGATATAACTGTTTACATAGGTATGTTAAGGGGAGAGTGACATTGGAACACAATTTATCAAATGATTAAACAAACACAGCCGTTTGTAAGCAGCAACTGTGATAATAAACAAACAAATATTCTAAAAAAAAGGATATTCTGTTTGCTGTAGAATTGCAAAAAAACAAAATCGATTATTTGTAATTTAAGGACGTGACACTGAATACCTTTTTTTTCGTGTTGCATAAACTACAAACAAAACAAAACTGCATGCCTTGCACATTTGCTTATTTGTTGTAGAACTTAAAAAAAAACAGGCAAAAGTAAAAAGAACATGTTGCAAGATTTTGTGTCCGTGTTGTAATGTAATGTTGGTATGTAAATTGTAACAGGGAAGCCCTTGTTGGTATTTTTTTTAGCAATTGACCACTCGTGAAAATTGACACGTTGCAAGTTGTCGTCTGTATTAATAATGTCTAGTACGTGTGTTTGGCTGTTGTATCTTCTTGTCATGTTACAAATTTCTTTTTTACAACAAAAACAACAGCAAGAAGAAAAAAATTGAAAACATTTTAAATAAAATAACACATGTATTGCTTACAAAGAAGGCCTAATTTGTAGTTGTTGCAACTAGAGTACATTTATTTTATTGTTTTGTAGATTTGTCAACTGTCCTACACGTCTACCGACTATGACTTTTTGTTTTTGCTTTCTTTTTTTTGGTCTGGTCTATATGTATGTCTCAGTTTAGTTTTTCATTGTAGCTTTCCTATGGTATCCTTGTGCTGCTGTTGTACGTGTTTTAAACAAATAATAGAAATGTATTGAATTTCTTTTTTTTCGCTTTTTTTTTGAAAATTTTTAAATTGTAATTTACACGTAACTCTTAGTAGGTGTCTATATGTAGGTGGAAAAACCTTAAAGGTAATTGACATTTAAATAGTTCAGAGTTGTATCTATAGACAACATACGTTAAGAATATAAAAGAACAGAAACCTGCCACATTTTGGAGGTAAAACAAAAACTATTGCAGAAAACAAATGTTAATTAAAAAGAAATTAATTTAATTTAAAAGAAATTTAAATTAAATTGAAAGGAATTGTCTAATAGAGAATAATGAAAAAATATTCTATAAAAGAATTGAATTTTTCTATAAAAATTTGGGAATTTTACAAAAATTTTCTTTAAAATTAAAATTTAATTGAGAATTGTGTTCGAAAAGAGAATTGTATACAAAATTTTCTATGAAAAAGAGAATTGAAAGGAAAATTTTAAATAAAAACAGTATTGAATCGAAAATTTTATAAAAAATGAAAATTTAGTGAAAAATTTTATAAAAAAAGTATTGAATGGAAATTTTTGTATACAAAGAAAATTGAATCCAGATTTTTTTTAAATAAAACAGAATTGGATTACATTTTTTTAAATAAAAGACAATTGAATTGAAAATTTTCTAAAAAAAAGAGAATTGAATCCAAAATTGTATAAGAAAAGAAATTTGAAAGGAAAAAATTTGGAATCAAAAGAGAATTGAGTCGAAAATTTTGTAAAAAAAGAGAATTGACTGGAAAATTAAAAAAAAAAGATATTGAATCGAAAATTTTGTATAAAAAGAGAATTCAATCCAACAATTTTTTAATAAAACAGAATTGAAAATTTTATAAATAAAGAGAATTGAATCCAAAATTTTATAAGAATAATAAATTTAAAAGAATTGAGTCGAAATTTAAAAAATAGAGAATTGAATTGAAAATTTTGTAAAAAAAACATTGAATCGAAAATTTTGTATAAAGAGAGAATTGAATCCAAAATATCTTTAAATAAAATAAATTGAATTGAAAATTTTATAAAAAAAGAGAATTGAATGCAAAATTTTATAAGAAAAAGAAATTTTAAAGGAAAAATTCTATTAAAATTGAATTGAATCAAAAATTTTATACAAAAATAGAATTGAATAAAAAATATTGTATAAAAAGAGAATGGATTCGAAAATTTTGTTAAAAAAAGAGAATTAAATTAAAAATTTTATGCAAAAGAAGAATTGAATCGAAAATTTTGTACAAAAAAAGAAATGAATACAATTTTTTTTTAATAAAACAGAATTGAATTGAAAATTTTATAAAAAAAGTGATTGAATACAAAGTTTTATAAGAAAAAGAAATTTAAAAGAAAAAAATCTTTAATAAAAAGAAAATTGAGTCAGAAATTTTGTAAAAAGGAGAATCGAATGCAATTTTTTTATACAAAAGAATTGAATCGAAAATTTCTATAAATGAGAAATTTTGTATAAAAAAAGAATCGAATCTAAAATTTTGTAAAAAATAAGAATTAAATGATACATTATATAGAAAAGTAGAGCTGAATCGTTAATTTTCTTTAAAATAAAAATTGAATTAAAAATTTTCTAAAAAAAGAGAAATTTTGTATAAAAAAGAGAATTTAAAGGAAAATTTTATTAAAAAAGAGAATTGAAAGGAATAAAAGTAACATTTAATCGAAATTTTTTTTTAAAAATTTTATAAAAATAAAATAGAATAGAATAGAAGTGATAATTTTTATAAAAAACGGAATAAATTTTGATTTTTTTTTTTTTTTTGTAAAAATAAAAACTTTTGGCAAAAATTTCTTTAAATAAAGAGAATTTAGACAAAATTTTCCATAGAAAGGTTATTTATGAAAAAAATTTACAAAAATACCTTTTAATTTGTTTGTTTTTATAAAATGAGAATTACAAAAATTTTCAAAAATGAAAAAAAATCTAAAAAATTTTTTTAAATTACAAAATTTAAAAAAAAAAATTTAATTTTTTAAAATTTGTGAAAACTTTAAAATTTATAGACAATTTATTAAAAACTTTCTTAAAATAGAAAATTTTTAAAGATTTACTAAAAATGGAAAATTTATTAAAAATTTTCTAAATTTATAAAAATTATTAAAATTGTACTAATTTTTTTATTAAAACTTTAAAATTTTAGAAAATGTATTGAAATTTTCTTAAAATATAAAATTTATTAAAATTTTCTTAAAATAGAAAATTTATTAAAATTTTCTTTAAATAGAAAATTTTTGAAAATTTTTTTTAAATAGAAAATTTTCGAAAATTTACTAGAAATTTGAAATTTTTCTAGAAATTTGAAATTTTTTAATATTTTTTTTTTAATTTTCTTTAAAATATTTGTAAGAAAATCTAAGAAACTGTGAAGTTAACATTAACAAACAGCTTTGAGCTTTTAAAACTTTTTAAGAAAACTTTTTTTTAATGTTAATTTCCTTTCATATGAAAAGATTGAACTAAAAGAAATTTGAATTACCTGTACTCTAGATTCTGGTAGATTTATCTTTAAAGCCACTTCTTCGCGCATAAATATATCGGGATAACGTGTTTTGCCAAACAAGGCCTCCAAAACATCCAGCTGGGCTCGGGTAAATGTGGTGCGTTCACGTCTCTGTTTGCGGGTATTAACACCTTAAGGGGGAGGAGAAAGGACAACAAAGAAAAAATTAATAAAAAAATGCCTAAAACTATAAATAATGCCTAAACAATGTGGTGAAACTGTTATTAAAAAAAAACTAGTTTATTAAAAACCTTATTAAAGTCAACAAAATATATTAACTTTAGTTAAAAACTAATTAATTAAGAGATTATTTCAAAAGGTGATCTAAAAAAATATCCTGCTGTTTATTAAAACTAAAAGAGCAATATTTAGTTTTTTTTCTAGTTGCTAATAAAAAAGTTTTATTGTCTAATAGAAAAAGAAATGGCGTATGTGTCCTTTTTCCTAAAAAAAGGTGTTTTATTTAAATAAACAAATACTACCCCCAAAATCATGATTATAAGAAATTTCTAAAACGCCATTCCTTTAATAGAAAACTTCTATCAATAACCACCCCAATTTTATATAAAAGATTTGATAAAGGCCTGATCTAAAACATATAACCACCCTTGTTGTTTAGATGTTTCGCTGGCTGATTGCCAGCTATTGGTTTGGTGGCGCAGCAAAACATACTTTGTTTCCACTACATGATGATGTTTTGCCTTTTTTATTTGGAAAGTATATAATGTATTTTATATATTATATACTTTTATAATATTTTTAATCCTACAACAACGACTTTATTGTTTTGTCACCCTTATGTATGTATACGATGCGATTTTTTATATTTTCAGCTTGCTGGGACCGTCGGAAAATAGTTTTTTAATGTTATGTGTTTTTTTGTGTAATTTTTTTAGCTATTGTTTTTTTTCTCTTTTTTTTGAAAGGGTATCTCTAGTTTTTAATGCTGTTATATGATCCCAGTTAAGTATTTATGCAGTTGGTATAGGGCCCTGTTAAAAGTTAGTCTGAGGCATATGTACGTGCCTTTTAAATAAATGAATTTTTAAAAAGATTTAACACAGCTGCTTTAAATTTTGTTTAGATTTTTAATATTTTATTCAGATGTTAAAGATGTTGGCATTAATTGAAGGACTTTTGATTTTTTAAGCTAAATGTAAGAGGTTTTAGAAATTAAAGTATTAAGCGTTACACTGTGTTTTGTGTTAGCAAGTAATTGATATAAAAACTTAACTTAGAAAGCAACTTTTTTTAAGAATTACTATAATTACATAAAGCCCACAGTGCTTACTATTTGACTTAAAAGAAATTTCATGCTCTTTGGCTGTATTAATAAAAAAGTACTAAAAAGAGTACCAAACTTAACATTTCCATTGAATTGTTAATATTATTACTACAAAAATTTGCTTTCTTAAATTAAAACTAAAAATTTGATTCCATTTAGTGGAAAACTATATGGAAATCACATGCTCTTTTGCTATATTAATAAAAAAGGTACTAAAAATAGTACCAAACTGAACAATTCAACTAGTTTGTTAATATTACTTTAAAAACTTGCTTTCTTACCTCAAAACTAACAATTTGTTTAAATTTTGTTGAAAATTGTTTATAAATTTCTTCTCTATTGATGTATTTATGAAAAAGGGGCTAAAAATAGTACCAAACTTAACATTTTTCCAGGATTTAAGCTAAAACTTTAAAAAAATTAATAACTTAAAGCAAAACTAACAATTTGTTTCTATTTAGTGGATAACTGTATGTAAATTTCATGCTCTTCAGCTGCATTAATGAAAAAGGTACTAAAAATAGTACCAATTTTAAAATTTTTGAAGGATTGTAAGAGAAAACTTTAAAAATTTAATTACTTAAATTAAAATTAACAATTTGGTTCCATTTAATGAAAATCTGCAAAGAAATTTCATGCTTTTTAGCTGTATTAATGGAAAAGGTACTAAAAAAGTATTAAACTTAACATTTTTGCGTGATAGTAACCAAAAACTTCAAAATGTTTATTACTTAAATCAAAATTAACAATTTAGTTCCATTTAGTGAAAAACTGTGAAGAAATTTCATACTCTTTGGTTGTATTAATAAAAAAGGTACTAAAAAAGTACCAAACTTAATATTTTTGCTGGATTGTAATAGAAAACTTTAAAAATTTAATTACTTAAATCAAAACTAACAATTTGGTTCTACTTAGTAGAAAACTGTTAAGAAATTTCTTGCTTTTTGCCTGTATTTATGAAAAAGGTACTAAAAATAGTACCAAATTTGGCATTTTTGCAGGATTGTAAATGAAAACTTCAAAAACTTTATTTCTTAAATCAAAATTAACAATTTGGTTTCTTTTAGTGGAAAACTGCAAAGAAATTTCATGCCTTTTGGTTGTATTAATGGAAAAGGTACTAAAAATAGTACCAAATTTAACATTTTTGCAGGGTTGTAAAAAAAAACTTCGAAAATTTACTTTCTTAAATCTAAACTAAAAATTTGGTATTATTTAGTGGAAAACTGTATAGACATTTAATGCTCTTTGACTGTTTCAATGAAAAAGGGGGATAAAAAAAGTACCAATCTCAACTTTATGGTATATATAACGTTAAAAATTAGGTTTCTTCTATAGAATTTAACTATTGCTTGCTATTTGTTTAAAATTGTATAGAAATTTCTTTGTCTAGGGCTGGACTAAATGAAAAAGGTACTAAAAATAGTACCCAACTTAACATTTTAACTAAATTGGTATTATTACTCTAAAAAATAGCTTTCTCAAATCAAATTTAACAATTGTAAACTATTTCCTCTCAATTGTATAAACATTTCATTTCCCAGATAGCTTTTTAGGAAAAAAGGTACTAAAAAAAGTACCAAACTTAATATATCAGCAATAAAGGAAACACTATTTTAACAATTTAGCTATTATATCCATGTTGTTCTTAATTCAAGTACAGCCTGTTGTTAGTTTCAACTTTTTTTAACACGGCAGATTTTAGTTGAAGTGACTTCCTATTAAAAGTTTAAAATTTTATTGAAATTTTATCGTCTTTTATAAATAAAAATTTATATGGAAATTTCTTTTCTATTATTTTCAAATTATTATTGTTAACTTTTATATATTCAATATAATTTATGTTTAAAATTTATTAATAAATATGCAAAAATATGCTTCATTTTGCTAGAAATATAAACAAAAGCAATTAATATGCTAAATAATGATTTTATGAATTTCTTTTCATTAATGATAATTTAAAAACCATATAATTGTCTTTTTAAAAAAGACCTTCCTACGTCAAAATTTAAGAAATGATTTTCTTTTATTAAAATGGAATTTCCAATAGGTTTTAAAGAAATGTTTTAATCTGAAAATTAACATAATTTAAACATTAAAATTAGTGTGTGAAATAAACAAATTGGCATATTATTTTTTAAAAAAATTAGATCTTTTTTGAAAAGTTTTTTTTTTTTTGTTAACAGAGTGTGAACTCCTTATGTTTTGAAAACTAAAGTAAAAATCATTAATTTTAAAAAATTTAACTTATCAGTTCAAGATTTTGTAAAAAAGAAGAACCAACAAAATGACAAATGATTTGTCATGACAAAACAAAATGTTGTTGGCCTTAAAGAAAACGGGCCAAAGAAAACAACAAAACTTCACTGATAACTCAATTTTAACTAAAGATGACAAGGTGATTTCATTTGGAAAAATGACAACAAACCTCTGGGAATATTTCACATTTTTATCTGGGCACTTAGGATTCAACCAAAAAGAAATATACAAAATCAAAACGGCTACAACTTGCAACACATCCTGTAAGCAGCAGCAGCAGCAACGGCAAGTGTATAGGTATCATGCAGCCGATTTCTTTCTTTAATTCAAAATATAAATTTCAATATAAATATATTTCCAGTTTCTGCTGTTTTTCAAGAAGATATAGTCAAAGACGTTAAGAAAAAATAAAACTCATATTGCATCATTATCAATAATATTGTCAAAATGAATAATGAGCGCTTGCGTGCACTGACTTGACAAATACAGTGACGTAGCAAATGACAAGTTAACAGACAACTTCTAACCATTATCCATTCCATAAAAAACCAAAGTGAAATCTTCTTCTTCTTTTTCTTGCTTAATAAATGGTGTCATTTTTTTGTCATATACAGTTTGGCATGTTTTTTGAAAACAATAAATGACAAATAGGTTGGAAAGACAGACAAAAAAAACTCCAAAATAATTAATGGTTAATAGTTGTGGAGGTTACAAATTTTAATAAAAATTAACGTTTTGTAAGAAAAAAATTTAATATTAGTGCCTAACTTTAGAATGAAATAAGCAATTGCAAAGGGGTATAGGAAAAAAGTGCCAAAAAAGTACCAAATAGAAAATTCTGTTCTCAGAATATCAGTTGAGTTCTACTTATCACCAAAAATTTGCTTTTAAGAAAAAGTTGAAAAATGTACCAAACAGTTAGCAAAAGTTGTGTGATTTCAAATTATGATCAAAGTAAAGATTTTTTAATAAAATTTCTTAATATAAATGCTTAACTTTATAAAGAAAACGAGAATTATAATAGGAACTTTATAAAGTACTAAAAACGTACTTTTACTATTACTGTGACCTATACGTTTTTGAAATAAATAAAACTTGAATTCAAAACTATAGTTTGAAGTTAAAAATTGTGCCCAAACGTGAGAAGGTTAAAATTTTAATAAAAACAGACTTTTAGTTATAAAAAATCTAAATATCAAAACTAAAGAAATAGCAAACAGGACTTTAAAAAGTACCAAAAAAGTACTTTTAGTGTAATTCTAACATATAAATTTTTGTAAATTTCTATTCTAAATTGAAAAACTATAAAAACTTAAATTGAATCTTGAAATTTTACCAAAAAGGTACCAAAATTTTACTAAGTCCGATTTTTTTCAAAAAAGGGTTCTAAAAAGTACCAAAACTTTAGCATTTCTATAACTTTAACTACTTGAAATTTATTTAAAATGGGCGAATTATTCAAAAAAGTAATAAATCTAGTTTTCAAAAGGAAATTATTGAGCAAATTATTTGATTTCTTTAAGAAATACAAAATATAGTTTAAAAAAGTACCATATTGAACCATTTATATCCCTTTAGTATATTTACTATTCGAATTTCTTATTCAAATGAAAATTCCACAAAAAAATTTAATCGAATCACACTTTTACAAAATCAACTTTCAAAATGGGCAAATTGCTCGGAAAGGTACCAAAATTGGTTTTCAAAAAGGGAATTTTTGAACAATTTTTTTAATTTCTTAAAGAAGTACCAAAAGTAGTTCTAAAAAGTACCAGTATTGTACCATTTCTATAACTGTAGTCACTTTACTATTCGAATTTCTTAATCGAATGAAAATTCTTTAAAAAAAAAACTTTAATTGAATCAAACTTTTATAAAATCAATATAAAAAACTTTTGAAATTTCTTCAAAAAAAGTACCAAATATGGTTTTCAAAAGGGAATTATTGAACATCATATTTGATTTCTTTAAGAAGTACAAAATGTAGTTCTAAAAAGTACCAGTATTGAACCATTTCTATAACTTTAGTCACAATACTATTCGAATTTGTTATTCAAATTAAAATTCAATAAAAAAACTTTAATCGAATCAGACTTTTATAAAAACAAACTATTGAAATTTCTTCAAAATGGGTAAATTGCTCAAAAAGGTACCAAAACTGCTTTTCAAAAAGTGAATTATTGAAATTTTTTTTTTTAAATTTCTTAAAGAAGTTCAAACTTCAGCATATCTATAACTTTAAAAACTTAACTATAACAATTGAAAATTCTATAAAAAAGAACTTAATTCGAATTAAACTTTTATAAAATCAATTAAAAAACTTTTAAAATTTCTTTAAAACGGGTAAATTGCTTAAAAAGGTACCAAAACTGGGTTTCAAAAGGGAATGATGGAACAAATTATTTAATTTCTTAAAGAAGTATTAAATTACTTTTCAAAATTGGCCAAAATGTAGCAAAAAGTACTTTATGTATCTTTGCTGAAGAGCCTATTCTTTGGTGAAAAAACGTACTAAAAAGTATTTTATGTATTTCAAGGCTTTACTGAAGAGCTTTTTCTTAAAGTATTTTTTATAGAGCATTTTCTGTGAAAAATAGGGATTTACTTATCAAAATGGGACGAAATGTAGCAAAAAGTACTTTATACATTTTAAAGCTTTGCTGAAGAGCTTTTTGTTTGATGAAAAACGTTCTAAAGATGAGTAAAAGTATGTTTTATAGAGCATTTCCTTTGGAAAAGAGAGATTTTATAATTGTATCAAAAAAGTACTTAATATAGCTTAAAGCTTTTCTAAAAAGCTTTGTCTTTGGACAAAAATCTAAAAAGTTTTAGCAAAATTTGTATAAAAAACTATGATAACTTGAATTCCTAAAATTAAACTCAAGATTTATACTATTGCTATTATTGCAGACTAGTCCTAGACTGTATAAAATCTTTTAAAAATCGTTCTAAAATAGCAATTTGGGCAAATTAGTTTCAAATTTATATAATTATCTATGATTTCTCCTAACATTTTCACCACATTTACAAAATTTTTGCTGTTACACAAAAAATTTAAAAAAGTTTGTATTTTTTTTTTAACCAAAATTGGTGCGATATTTACCCCACATACCTTGGGAGAACCCGACGGCCTCTAGGCCATGGGGTAAACCAAAGGGTCCCAATGACGGCATCGGCATACCAGGCGGCAAAGGTCCATGTGGTCCATGATGGGGATGAGGACCACCATAACTGTGTGGATGAGGTCCCAAATCCCCCGATTTAAGAAAACCGGCAGCCATTAAGGCTTCTGTTGAGTGAAGAGCCACTGTGAAGCCGTTTACACAAAGGTAAACAAAAAAACTGTAAAGCAGAAAAAGAAGAAAAAAAATTAATTAATTATAAATTAAAATTATTAACATAATTATTTATAAAATGCAAAACAAAATAAAAAAAAATGGCGTACTTTTTTTTACAAGGTTTAGAGTGTTACAAAAAGGGTTGGTTGTTGGTTGGTTTTGGTGGCAAAACTGAATCACAATATTTAGAGTTTGTTTTCCAGACAGATGCGTTATTAATTTATGTGTCAAGGCAAGCGTGTAATTTAGGGTCTGTTTCAATTTTTACACAATTCTTGTGGCACAAACACACACGAACGAACGAACGTACGTTATATTCCAAGCCAGGGTGAGTGATAAGTGATAATTAAGGCAAAAATGTACGTATCTTTTATTAAACTATTTTTATATATTTTTTTGTTTTTCGTATTTATACTGTGTTAGAGAGCGCGCTCTTATCTTTTGGTTGCCTGTTATGGTATGATATGCGGTAGACCAATGATGATTTGTAAATGACTGTCTAAATAACTGTGGCAGAGCGTTAAATGACAAATAACCTAAGGGTACCTACTTGCCTGACGATGCTAGGTGTGGACATTTTAAAGAGCATCTCTTTGTGTTTGAGTGAAAGAGCAAAAAGGATAATTGAGGAGAAAGAGTAAGTAAGAGTTTCTTTTGATAATATTTAACAGGAGGATATAGATGATTTTAATCCCTAGCACTAGGATTTGCCATTCTTTTGTGCGTTAGATCTATGGTAGACAATATGTGAACTTTTTTTGGGTTGTTATTGTTGTTGTTGTTGGCTAAATGTAGACTAATTTGTCTGCAGTTCTAGTTTAGGTCATATGAAAGTATGTATGTGTATGTGTGGGTTCGTTTAAGCCTGGTTTTAAATCCCTCTAGATTTAAAACCCTCTTGTTGTTGTTGTAAAATGTATGTGTTAGTTTGTTGTTGCCGCCCTGGCTTTAGTCTATTTGTGGTCTAAGCATTATTAAAATTATTTAAATCTCTTTCTTTCTTACTTTTTTCAAACTTTGTTTGTTTCAGCTTAGATCAAACATTTTCAACCGAAATTTTTTTCAAATTTTCATTTTTGACAAATTTTTCTTTTCTTTAACACACGAAAACCCAAATTTTCTAAATGAAATCCTGTGGTGTAATCATGTCACAGACAATCATCCAGAAATTTTCAACACTCCAGTTATTAATTCTAAAAAGTATTTCTATGACAAAGCATTACAAATAAAACATTGTTTTTCTTAAATCATTTTCCGGACCTTAAAGCACGTTCAAGTACAAGAGAAATATGTCTCCTTTTTTCAACTCTCACAAAAACATTACTTGCTATTTCCGGTTAAACAAACAATAACAAGAAAACAATTCAAAACTGGACTCAAGCTGTCATGTGTTTGGAAAAAAACACAAAAAATAACAAACAATATACAATTAATGATCATCATGCAACATTTTGTGTTTATTTTTTGGAAATATTTCTTATATAGTTTATTATTTGTGCACCCGCACTTACTTAATAACACCGTTAGAAAAATCTTTCAATAATTCAAAGTCATATTTTGAAATCATCTCTAAATGATTTATTTAAGATTGTATATTATTTCAACACTCGCTTAGCAATTACGGTCAAAATAATATTTGGATTTTTTCCTCATTTAGATGCCAGGCCATTAGTACTTTACGGTAGCTGCTAAATGCCTTAAGTCATATTTGAATTGTGGGAATTTTTATGGGAACTACTACTACTGTTTTGATTTGTCTTAAACAATTACTGACTTTTAATGGTTTTATTTTTATAACAAATGTTAAGGGAACAGAAATTGTTATGGCAAAAGTAAGAGAAATTTATAAACACTGTTTTTTTAATACAAACATTGCTTAGATGCCAAATGTGTTAACTCAAAATTTTAATTTAATAATGTTTCACTTAAAGAATTGTTTCTTCGTTTTAATCTAAAATAAAAAGCTTTCGAATTGATTAAGAGTACAATCAAGATATCGAAGAAAGCTCTCTCTCTTCTGCTTTATAGCGTTCACACTTAGGAAAGCTTAAAAATGAATCAAACACAAACTAAACTAGACCGAGAAGTTATATATCTAATTCCGTTAAGATCTGATTTAAAGTCAAAATTTAGCCCCTAAACATAAACAGAAAGCTCTTATACCATTGCGCTTAATTGCGTTCCCACGAAAGCCTACAAATGTATTAAATGTAAAGAAACCCGGACAGAGAAGTTATTTATCTAATTCCGTTAAGATCTGCTTTGAATTAAAATTAAAAATTTTGTTTCTAAACATAGACAGAAAGCTCTCACTATTGCGCTTTATTGCGTTCACACAAAAGCTTACAAATGATCTGATTTAAATTAAAATTTATCCCCTAAACAGAGACAGAAAGCTCCCATTCTCCAGCTTTACTGTGTTCACACTTAGGAAAACTTAAAAAAGTATAAAATACAAACAAAACTACACCAAGAAGTTATTTATCTAATTCCGTTAAGATCTGCTTTAAATCAAAATTTAAAATTTTGCACCTAAACAAAGACAGTGAGCACTCACTTTCGCACTTTATTGTTTTTACACTTACAAAAGCTTATTTGTAAGCTAAAATATAAACAACACTAGATTGGGAACTTCGGTAATCCATTCTGCTGATAACGGATTTCTATCATTTCAAAACATTCACATAAATTTAAACTTTTTGTAATTTTCCTTTATTTTGAAGCTAGAAAAGTTCTCGGATTAATGTTATTTGTTTAGTATAAAAAGCTTTTTTAAAAACAGATTTTTTTAACAAATATAAGTAAAATTTCTTACTGTTATGGTTTAAAATGATTGAGAGAGAGAACTGGAGTCTAACCCTTAATCTTGGCATTAGAAATGAGCCCTCTCTCTCATGCTTTATTGCGTTCACACGTATTAAAAGCTCACTTATGATTGAAAACAAACACAACAAGTTTAATTTTTGTTATTCTTACTTTCTCTTTAAAGTAATTTCAATTTAAAAGAAACTTTAACTAAACATTATGATATTTGTTGTATTTAAAGCTTTACAAAAAATGAAAAGAGAGTAATTTTGACAACTGATCTGCGAGCTTAATAAAGAGTTTTAAAACTTGCTTGATGATTTATTGTGAACCAAAACAAACTCCCCTATAATGAGTTCATTTCGTTTTGGGAAGAAATACACTTTCTTCTTTTGAGAACTTTACGAAACAGCAAAGAGCATACGAACTTGTTCGAGAGAGAGAGAGAGAGAGAGGTATCATGATCAATATAACAGATTAAGTGCTTTTAGAGAAAATTTAAAGAATAGTTTTGTATGTTGTGTTGCTAAAGAAACCAAACTTTAGAAAGGTTTGAGTAAGATTTAAAGCAAATATTAGGTAAAAATGTTCGAAACTAAGTTCACACCTACAAAAGCTCTCTTAGGTAAAAACAATAGGCACAAACAGTTTGAGTGTTCGATAACTGAACACTCGGCCGATAACTACTCTAAAACGTCTGAGTTATAACTCTTTAGCTTATAGACAAAAACTATAAAAAATTCTTGCTGTTATTGTTGTTAGTACAAAAAAAGATCTTGTTTACGATAAATGGCAGCTAAAATTGACTGATTAAAAATTGCTACCACTTGCTGTGCCATTTGACTACAAGCCAACACTTTTAAACACAGTTTAAGGCAACATTATAGGAACAGTATTAAAAAAAAGAGAAAAGAAACTCTATTTAAATATATTATTAAAAAGCTAATGAAAACTCTACTTTTTAAAAATTTAAACCCACTGTAGTAATTAAAAATTTTCCGCTAAAACGCTTCATCAACAAATTAAGACATCTAACTAGTTTCGTTTTTTTTCAGAAAATTGTTAAGAAAAAACAAGTTGAACTTATGGCTTTAATAAACTCATATTTAATTATGTTATTTTTGATATTTTAATTACATTTCAAATATGTTAATTAAAATGCTTTAAGTAAGAAAAACATGTATTAAAAATATATATATATACATATTTTAACGTTAACTCAACAATGTCACCCACTGTTAAAGCAAGTTAGGAAAAAAATAAATGTTATTAGTCATAAAAAAATTATTCATAAATAAATAAGAAAAAAAGTGCAGGCTGTTTATGCTACATCTTACACTTTGTAGCAAGAAGCCAAAAGCTTATCATTTAAAATTTGCAATTTTGCTGGAATATATGTATATCTAGATAGACATCCATACATATCTTTTTCATCTGTTTGCTTGTGCTGCCAAAGTTAATAAACACTTTGTAATAAGCAACCAGTTTTCCTTTTCAAAAGAAAAAGCTACTGTAGAAAATTTATGCTAAAATGCATAAAACCATAAGCAGCATATTTTCTGACAGTTTTTGTTTATTTCGTTTGTTGCTTTTGGAAATGGAAAAGTTACTTTTTTCTTGGTCACATGGGTTCTCAAAGGGGAGCAGGAACAATAGATCTATAAGGCTAAAAGTTTCATATAGCTACAAACTTAACTTTTGTAAGCTTTTCACATAGATAAATTATACTATTATAAAGCTTTCTAAAGCTACTTTTGCGTTATTCACCCTTAATTGCCGAAAGATCAATTGAGCGATCAGGCAATGGTAAAGAGATATAAAAGAGCTTTCTGAGCGATTTTGTTTGTTTTCTATACATGTGTAAGCATGAGAGACCTTTGCTTATATCTGCTCTAAATGAATATCACGATCAATTATAGAAATATTTGATAATATTAGCTTGCTCACCAAAAGACCAATATTTTTAAACAAGTAGTTATTTTTAATTAATTTAGAGACTTTATTCTCTTAGCTGCAATTCGAGGTTACACTTTATTTATCAAATTTTTGATCAGTATACATATGCCTTAAGGTTTTCTGCTCAGTTAATGTGAGGATCATTTAATCACTGTTACCTTAATTAAGTCTTTAGAAAAACATATCACGTTACAAAGATTAAAGTATTTATTTTAAACCACCAAGATTTCTTAGTCTTCTACG